ATGTTAGACTCATTAGAGCATTGTCTTTTTTTATGATTATCTTTTGAAATACATCTTTTTTGGAAATACGAAAAACAAACATCGTATCTAAACAAAATGCCGAAGCTCGTAGAAAACTTGTAACCTGTCCAGCTTCGCTGTGGGCATTTTTCTACGGAAAATAAAAATTCCAAGTCATGACTTGTGACTTGACTTGACTTGGAAAATACAAAATAAAATATACACTTTTTGTCACATGCGTAGATCGTCTCACTCTGCTTCTTCTTTAGTTACACTGCCTTATATACCTCTAACTTATTTCTGATCTTCTTCATTTCACCTCTGTGATTCACTCTCACCATACCAAAATACCCCTTCCCTCCGGTGCCTGTAATGTTGTTTCAGCTGAACTTCTGCCTTGCTATTCTTCTTCTTTAAAAATTTTGTGACTTTCTAGTCTTACTCCTTCGTCTCTCTATGCTTTGATTATCCCATATTACAGCCCGAAAGGACTCGAATAATTCAGCATTCGATTCGATTCGGCAAAAAACCGAATCTAATCGAACCGAATTGTACACAAAAACTCTTTTGTCTGTTTTTCTTTTACAACCAGTGTCCACATGATGCAGACTCCTAAACGAATTGAATAATTCGGTATTCGATTTGACAAAAATCGAATCGAATCGATTTTGATTCCAGGAATGTTAAGTCGAATGGAATCGAAACGAATCAGGCTTTTCTGATTCATTTTGAGCCTCTGTTCCATATCCTAACTTTCTGACCTGTGTGAAAACATTGTAGGAAGAGAGTCAAATTCAGTGTATATCATTTAACTCATGAAACATATTCTTAAGGGTAAAATGACTAACAGAATAAATTCTATACTTAAACATCTATGTTATAATAACAAATTTTGTTCAAGTTTTTGACTGTCCAACTGAGAATGGAATGTACTTTTTGTTCTCCTATTGTAATCATCATGAATTCTCTGTGATCATTTTAGAGATTTTATCCATATTTATGGTAGTAAGAAAACTCATCGACTCATTGACTATTGTTTAAAAACTTTATTATTGTGTTTTTTATGGTATTCATGTGGTTATCTAATGTTACGTTCCATAACCGTTTTAAAAGCAGCTGAAAGCATAACATTATATTCTATAACAGTAACAAGTCGACTAGTATTAGGTTGGATTGCATTACATGAACAATTCATTGGAAATAAGGTAAAGGAGAAATAAAATAGATAATATTATCTGAAATTGTTGAGCAGTTTTTACCACACTTAACTTTTAGATAATTGCTCATATCGTGTCAATCACTGCTGTTCTACTTGTTTTACATGGTGATGGTTTTCGATTTAATACATTTCTACTTGGTAGTGTAATGGCAACAACTTCTGGTGCATTAAAAACTATATTTGATGTTTGTACAGCATGGTTTAACAATTTCCTATCGGTAATACATATCTTGTCTTTTTGTTCATGTTAAGGTTATTCTCAAAGGTCTAATTAAAGATTTAAATAGTCAAAAATTAACAATATTAATGATAAGTGTTTGTCTCTTTGGTACAATTTTATTCTGGCCAGTATTTTTAATAATACATTTTTCAAATATAGAACCAATTGGTCTATATGATGTCGATATTTACATGTGTATCGGGTTAATGATAGTAGCATTAGGTACAAGTTACTCATAAAATATATGAAAACAATTTATACTATTCGGTATTTTGTTCTGTTTATTTAGCATTCAATTTATTAACGATCACAATACCTCAAGCATATATAGAATTTTCAATTGTTGCTTGTTTACTCATTGTTATACCAACTATTGGACGTAAGACTCTCAAAGTATACTAATAAGAGAATATTCCCTATTGTTTTTCATATATATTATGCATTGTCAAATCATGCATTCTGATCACAATTCAACGTCACCACTAGATGATTGCTCAGTTCATACTACTTTTTATTGTTATTATTTCCTGTCAAAAAAGCACGCCATGTATAATCAATTATATTTTTTCATAGCATTGCTTGGTAAACTCACCAGGGACATTGTTTGTAGAGAAATATCTTAGGTACAATTTAGTTTGTGTCACATTTTCTTCGAAAGGTATAGGATTTTTTAAAAATTAGAATGAGATGAGAAACATACGTGGAAAGGAGTTAGTTTTAATGGTTATCATAGGACAAACATATCTTCTAATTCAACATTACAAAGCATAAATGCGAATGAATGTAACTAACTAAATATTTAAAACTGAACTATGGCATTTTTAGTATCCAATACTGAATTTTTAAAAAATACTTGATGAGTTAGTTAACAATGATCGATTATATATAATGTTCTATCTTGACAGGTAGTAATAGCAACGAAAAGCGGTATTAATTTGGCCACATTCTAGCAGTGACATTGATCTACAATCAGAACATACAACTTCGAAATGCACAATATAAGACACACATTCGGAGATATTCTCTTGTCAGTACTATCATGCAGTTTTAAATGGGTTTGTGAAAATTCACAGTACTATGAAAATCAACATGGACGATGACCCATATTCCATTCCATTAGTTTTAAGGTTCCCACAGTTAATCTTAGACCAGTCCTGGAACTGCCGAGAATCCGTTGCTATTACAATAGATGAAGAGAACGATTGACTTCTATTTTGTAGAGGATACTCTGGTCGTAGTAGCCATATAAGAGTACAAATACACATGTATTTCAAGCTTTTTAGTGGTAATTTAGTTTCCCCCAAAACCTTAAAATCCCATCTCAAAAAGATATCCAAGTCTTGAGTATTAAACGATAAAACGCACAGTTCTTCATTATATTTCTAAGAAAACTTTATTTAACATGTTTTCTGTTTTGGAATAGATTTTCTCCCTCTTACTATTACTATTTTTGTACTTGCTTATAGTGATTGATCGATACTATTACTCAATTCATTACAATGGACTATTTATAGCTGCCATGATCTTTAGCTTTATAGGCATCTCAATCGCTCTGATACCTACAACATTATTAGTACGTTTGAATAAGAAAAAAAGTCAACAGCAAGGAAATATGTCGGCATTCGATGAAATAAGAGCACAAAGACGAATAAGAAATTATAATTTATATAATGAAAGCAAAACATAGACCTTGAGCAATATCAAATTCAATACATCTTGTATTATCATTGGCTTCAGATCATATTATGTTCATGGTGAAAGACCTATCTACTTCCACCAATACCACATTTGATAATGTATGAAGTATTCAAACGAAGATATGTAACGACTTTGATTTTTTGTTTGCTTAATATGCTACATTAAGCCTCCCGCTCGCAGTCAGAAATCTATCTCGTAATTTTGAGAAATGTTGGGCATGTTGAGGAATAGTTAGTGCATAAGTTTTGATGTTCCAACTATCATCGTTTAGGAGATGTCGGTCGAATATGGGTCAAAATGGGGCATCTACCGTCCGACAGATTTCTCCTCTCAGAAAACAGCTGGAGAGCTCGGGCTGGTTTTAAAGTATAAAATGAACTTAGATTAACACGTTAGAGACTTCATAAACTCTTGATTGGTAAAAAATAAATTTTTTCTATGGAATCTTGACTGAGGTAATGAACTATTGAAATCAAAGAATTTCAAATTTTCGAATTTTTTTAAAAACTTTTTCCATAAATTTAGGGCCATAGAAGGGTTTTCAGATGTGGTGGTTGATAACTATTGCTATAAGGATCTATTCTATAATTACACAAGAAAACAAAGTTTCTGTCAAGTTGCCTTGGTGCACCGTGTCCAGTAATGTCCATACCTGTGGATATCAGAAGGGAATGACATGAAAAGTATTGATTTTTTCGTTTTACATTTTTTGTAAGCTATCAGTAATTCAAAGTATCAACACCTTTTATTTTTGGCTTAAAGACACATCATTAGATGCAGTCTTATCTGGTGATCACGAATCTGGCCTTATTTTTCGATTTGAGCAAGTTTTCCCGGAGAAAAATGCAAAATACTGCCAACTCCTCAAAAACGCCCGAAACTGACTTTTGAGAAAATCGCTATTATCGTCTCACAATTTTACTTTCCGATCTCACCAATGTAATTTTCGGATTCTTCAACTCAAACTGAGTATAGACATGTGGTCTAGAGCTTGATCGTGCGTATCGTATAGGCTGTGGAAATTTTAAAAATCGATGGTCCTCCGTTGGTGCGACCTAATTTTGCAACCCTATCTAGTTTTTTTCTCTAAAAGATAACTAAAACCTTTCTTAATCCGGTATAATTGTAGCCCGCACATTTCTGATTAAAATGAGACGTCTCTCAGTTCTACACGACCTTATCGAATGGACATAGTGAGCACTCAAGAGCTCCACTTCAGTGGTCGTCTCTCATGGATCTTCAAAAAAATACCTTCCGGGGGTACAGGGTTAAAAACTGTTTGAACGTTAAATAATTTGTTGATATTTTTCCATAGGTTATCAGTCATAGCGGATCTAATGAACACGTGCGGCAAATGCGTGCGCTTATGCAATACAAGTGCAAAAAAAACATTTTTTTTGCTATAGGGCTTCTGGAAAGTTGCTCAAAATCTATGAAAAACCTATCCTATCGACACAAAAATTATGCCATTAGAAAGTAGAAACGTTGGGCTATCCAACCATGTGCTTTTCTCAAAGTCGATATTTGTAACGAAAATTGGCGTTTCTGACCGGAGGAGGGGGGAACCTTAAATTGCGAAAAAAGTCTTTATTGATCAAATGACTTGAACTTTTTAACTTAGACGATATCCTTCACTACCATACAACTATTTTGCACTATCTGTTATGCACTATGTGTTATTATTATACACGTTTGTTTCTAATTTTTTTTTGTAATAATAGATATTTTTTTATATTTAAGTGTTAAATGTAAGAACAGAGACACAAAACAAAAAAAACAAAAACAAGTTCTCTAATAACAATAAAAAGAAAAACCAAATAATAATAAATAAATAAAAAATTCCTCTTTTATTTTGAGACAATACATAAACCCGATCTGTGTATACACATAAAATAGCATTAACAAAGAACAAAGATAAGAGTTTAAAAAAAGTTTATCGAAATTGTGCCATACTAATACGTAAGCCTAAACATTCTTTACCAATTTCAGTTGCCTAAAGAAACAAAACTATCAAAATTTTTATAACTATAATTATCCTAAATCCAAACTCACCTTCGTAACACGACATAATTGTCCTTTAAATTCTGGTAGATAACAAGCACTACTTAGTGGACATTTAGCTACTGGTTTACCCCTAAAAATTAAAAAAAAGTTGAATATAAAAACATATTCATTTTTTTTCTACTCTTCTCGTCTTACCTATAAATTGGTACATAGGATGCAGCACAAATATCAAACGGATTATATTCATCATAATTTAGTGGTACTTCATCAACTGGATTCTTCTCACATACACTAAGAACTTTTCGAGTCTAAATGACACGAAAAAGAAAGATTAAAGGACAAACAAACAAAATACTCAACTGGCAGAAAAGAACGCGAATAATAATATGATTAATTTTTTCAAACAAAAAATAGAATGTTATCACATAAAATTCTGTTTATGATTAGAGAAATCTCATATGATAATGATCACAGGTTACTCCAGTATATATCGGTACTTACTTGTTGTGCTACATCTGGTGTTGGTCCCAATTCTAGTAATCTTTTAGCAAATGATGATGCCATTTTATAATTTTTTAATTTAAATGCTTGATTTAATGCTGATTTTAATGTCATTATTTTGTGTACCGGTTGTAAATTACAATGTGTAAAATAGGCGGCTAATTCACATGAACGTTTCTCAACATTGGCACCTTGTAAATCTTTTTTAGCCATAGACATTTGTAAACCAATAATATATTCGCGACATATTTCAATGAGTTGTGTTGCTTCTGTCACATCTTGTCTTGTATCAACAATTAACAATGGTACAGATAATAGAATAGAACGAAATTTTTCAACAGCTTCACCAAATTTCCCGTTGGTTGTTAAACGATAGGCCAGTTGTAAACGAGATACTAATTCTTCTAGTTTAACGCCAATAGATGGTAAATAATTTTTTACTGTTGCATCACGCCTAAAATGAACAAAAGTAAGAAATTTTTATTGAAATATCATGAGAATCTCTCTTACCAATTTCTTAATGGATAGGAAAATAACGATGGTAATGATGGCAATGCTGTGTAAGCTGTTTTAGCTCTAGAGTATGTTTGAATAAATAATTGTTTATAGTCATCAAATTGAACAATACCAACTTGATCATTAAGAAGCTAAATTTAATTCAATGCTTTTTATTGAGACTTCAGCATTTTAAAATAACTTACTCTCATTGCTGATTCAAACGAGCCAGCTAATACATGATCAACAGGTAATTTTGAATTATTCACCCAATGTTGTGACACAGATTGCCCTTTGGTTGGTGCAACAAAAAATCCTTCTTGATCATCTTCTGTACTCACATTAGCGCCCCCGCCAACGTCCTAAAAATATATACATCATTAAAATCAAGTATTTCATACAACAACTTCCTTTTGCTACGTACAAGATCAGCTGGTAAATCGAGATTCATATCATCACCCCATCCTTCTCCTTTCTCATTTGTTTCATCAGCGTTTGTCGTTTCTCTATTTCCATCTTCATCAAGAATCACTTCTGCTTCATCATCGGCCCAATCTCCACCAGTATTCACTGTCTCATCAATATTTACATTTGCTGCTAATTTTGTTGCTGTTTGAGTAACTAAACCAACACCACTAGCTGTCCCCGACTGACCACTTCTGATCATTGCACCTTCAAAAAACCCTTTGGATATTGCTAACAGTGGCCAATTGGATTCTTGCTGAGCTATTGGACATGGTGGCTGAAGCAATTCACTGTTGGGATTAATTTCAGGTAACTAAAACAGAGAAATTATGTGTGTTGTAAAGGATAAAACTTCAAACTTCACAGTTGCAATAAAGCCTAACCGAAGTTCTTTTTATTATTTTACACAAGAATTATGCGACCTTCAGATTTCTGGGTGAGTGGCAATAGATCTCCAAACCGGCGCAGAGATAGTATGAAATCTTATATTATTTGAATTATTCATTGGGGTCATCTCTAAGATCCCTTGCTGATCGCAAATTTCTCAAATTAGAGTCTTTGGAAAACCCGAATCCTACAAATCGAGTTTCAAGATACGATTCAAAACTTTTGTGAATAACCCAATCGAGTAGAGACTGGTAGAGAAGTGTCGTGGAGAGCTCAGAGACATCTCATATTGTCGAAAAATGTCTACTACACTTGACTGAGTTATTTACAAAAAGTTTCCGGTCGAATATTCTAGGACTCGATTTCCTAGAATTTGAGTTTTTCAGAGTCTATAATTTCAGAAATTTTTATGAAATTCTTGTATGCATCATACCAGGTTGGAAATTCTTTCAGCTATTCAATTCTTTTTTCTGATTTGTTTTAGCAATTATGGACGAGAAGAAAAAATCAAAAACAAATCGTTTCTATAACTTTGCATAGGACTCTAGAGCTTCTTTTTCACACACTTACATTATCTTGACTTGTTTCTAATATTTGTCTTAAATTTTCAGCCTCGTCTGTTAAACCATGTGTTGCAGCCATTACATATGCCAATGATTCTAAAATAACAATGTTTACATACTCCTTTTCATCTCGTTATACGAGATGAACTTACTTTGATTGCATTGTTTTAATAATTTCACTCTTTCTTCCACATCACCCAACAACATGGCGATTTGAAACTGACCACTAACATCTTTTCGAACTTCAGCTAAAACAATCCATTTACTACAATTAGTGCCGCCACACATATATCCAATGAAAGAGAATCTACTTTATACGTTTATCTGAGGTCAAGATATCATTTGAGATCTAGAGTATAGCCGAGTCACTTTTTCCCTAGAACTTACCAATTTTCATCATTTTTCGTAGTTTTTCTAAATTTCCCGTTATTAAATAGAGAAATGCTAGTTTGTCAAAATTTTTTGTTCGTTGATAAGACATTTCAACAATTTGATGATTGCCTTGCATCAACGCTGTTTCACCTAATTTTTCCCAACAATGTTTATCATCTAATGCACGGGCTGCTTCTAATGCAATCTAAAATACATATTTAGACGCATAATCTCTGTTTTTTGTATCGCTGTTTAGTACTCACATCAATGTTTCCACATTCCAATGCTAAACCAAATCTTGTTTTTTCATCTTTAACAAAGTGTAATGCCACTTCTGGATAACCTTTTTTTTGTAAATAGGCAATAATACTTTGACCAACTAATTTTGCTGTCCGAACCATATGGAGTACCTATTGAGAGAAACTTAGATGTTTGATAGACAAAGAGATTTCGAACGATCATACTTCATCATATTTTCTATTAACTAATGCCAATTTAAATTTAAATTCTGTGGGATCAATGGTTAATAGACGCGGTCGAACTTCACGATCCAAACAGAATACGCTGTTTCCTTTAATTTTTGTGATATAAATCGGTAAGTCTAATGTACGAATTATACCATGATCACTAAAATGCAGATCACTCGTAATTGTTATTACTATCTGATTATTTTTAATTTTTACCCGTTCAACAGTGCATATTTAATATGATTAATTGTGGTGTAAATAAATACTCCACTATCATCCCATGCACCGGATTTCAACGGTACATTTTCTTGTATCATACATAGTTGTTCTAATTTTCTATTACATATAACTAGTTGATGTTTTGATAACAATGATACATAGGACATATCATTTGACCATACAGCATATTTAGCTTTTGTTATTCTTACTGATGCCAATGAACGCTTTTGTTGTGCATCATACAATGTTACATGATCTTGTTCACGAATTAATATGAGACCAGTACCAGCATAAAATATTTCATCACAGTGTGGTAATTGTATCTTTTTTGTTATTTCATTTTTATTATTTTTGATCAAAATCTTAACCAAAAGAATAATTCATTATATATCCACAAACAAATAAAAACACCACATTACTTACAACATGATTTTTGTCTAGTACAGCAAAGCGATTTCGTGCTACCCATATAGCATTTAAACCCGATGATCGTCTACCTTCTGGAGCTAAAAATTATGGAGTATTGTACAGAATAGATTTTAAAAAAAAACAGATAAAGGTTTTTACCATCTGGAGTCTGTGACGTTGAATCAGTATTTTCTTTTGGTACAGCATATAAATCGTAAATACTATTGTCTAATTGAGATGGAACACGAGTTGTTATTAATATAGCATTTTCAGCTGGATTATATGACATCGAATAATAAGGAGCACGTGGACCACTTTAAAAGGAAAGAATCAGTATAGAATTGTTCTTCATAAATAGGTCTGTTTTACCTTCTTAACGTCATTAATGGTACATCTTTGGATGTGACAATTTCTAATTTTCTTAAATATTTATCTTTGACATAATAAACAATATTACCCACAACAGCATATATCGGTCGTTCTCGTTCTAATTTAAATACAATCATTCCATTATCATGACCTGAAAAGTAATTCTAACTGGATTAAAAAGTAAGATATAAGACACATACACAAACAAACCGGCCGCAAATAAATTCAATGTTGGGTGCATTGCCAATATCCAAAAACGATCATTTTCTCGTCGAAATGTATTCACAGCAACACTAAAACACGAAAATAGAGTAACTCTATTTCAATCATTTAAGAGGAGAATAAAAATAGCGTACCGTTTTGTCATATCCCAAACACGAATTGATTTATCTTCTCCATTACTTAATATAAGATCTTGTCTTGGATGAAATATAACACATGACACATTATTATAATGACCACGACATGTATCGACTTCCCATGCTTTACTTTCTATGAAAACGAAACCACATCAAAAAAATTAGATTCTTATTAATAAAACCATTGACATTTCACCTACCATTCATTCTCCATAATTTCACCACTCTATCATCAGCTGCTGTTACGATTAACGGCAATGTTGAATGAAATGTTGCCCAGTTCACACCACGATCATGACCTTCTAATACATGTTTAACAACGGCATCAGCCTGGCCAAATAAATCAGGTGTACCCGTTGTACGTTGAATTTGAGATTGAAGAGTATCAGGAGAAGAATAAACATTTTTTTTTCGTAAACCTACAATCAATATCAGTCAAATAACGAGTATGATTGTAATTAATTAACAGTCTTACCGGATATATCCCAAACACGAACTGTTTGATCTAAGGATGCTGATACAACTAAATCATCACTTGGATGAAATTGTGCACACATCACATAATGATTGTGACCAGTCATAACGCTAAAGTACAAAAAAATACAGTAGAAAATAACGTTCACGTAGAGAATTGTCATGCATGAATAACATTTTTATCTACAGATTAAAAAAGTGTAAAATGCGAGGTTTTGATTACGCTTAAAGATCATAAGTAGAAACGATGCTGAACATCATTAACTGTCTTTACTTGTGTTTTTCTCTTTTTATTCCCATTCTTTGATATTAGACACACCTACATGTTTGTCAAAATGCACTTTATTACAAAATAAAATGAATAGCTCGAATTTGAGCAAAAAGAAATCAGCAAAAAAATTTTGAGGAAATTTAAAAAAGAAAAACAAAAGTTTACTCATTTACGAAACCCATCTATATAGTAAATCGAAGAATGGATAATATATATCAAAGTTTCTATGTATATTAACTACTACATGAACATTTTTTTTATGATTTCTTACAATATGAAAATTGTTCTTTCTGTATTTTCTCTTTTGTACTTTTCATTTTTGTTCATTTTTTACTCAAAATAAAAATTTGCTCACAAGGGAACGTTTTTAAGTGCCCCCCTCGCTTTTTCAACAAAACCTAGTGGGCTATAGGTTATCGATGATGCTGATTCCAAATATGAATATGAGAGCTGCTCTTGGAGCTTCGAGCCAGTTGGAAACCAGTTTTTCAGAAACTCTGAAAAACAACTAAACTTTTCTTAATGAATCATGATTGTAGCCCGCACATTTCTGATTAAAATGAGATCTCTCCCAACTCTACATGACCTTCCTTTGCAAAGTTATAGAATTTACAAGAAAAGCCCTCAATTAATTTCTCCTTATTTCTGTAGCTTTGAGTTACCAATGAATATTTAGGACTTGTCTTGTAAATTCTATAATTTTGCAAAGAAAGGTCGTGTAGGGTTGGGAGAGATCTCGTTTTAACCCTTTACGGTCGGGTGTTGACTACTGGTAACATCGATCTATTAAGTGTCGAAGGAATTTCGTTCTAAAAGAATACACTTTGCCGATCCCTGTCACAGCAAAACAATAAATATAAAGGGAGGAATATTTTTATTAGTTAATTTTTGGCAGCCGACAGAAAAGGAATATACACAAAAGGGGATATTGTTACTAGATGGCTTATGCAGCCGGCCGTAAAGGGTTAATCAGAAATGTGCGGGCTACAAGCATGGTTCATTAAGAAAAGTTTTAGTTGTTTTTCAGAGTTTCTGAAAAACTGGTTTCCAACTGGTTCGAAGCCCTAAGAGCAGCTCTCATATTCATATTTGAAATCAGCATCGTCGATAACCTATAACCCACTAGATTTCGTTAATAAAGTGAGGGGGCACTTAAAAACGTTCCCTCGTCAGAGCAATTTTGCTCATTTTCTAGTTGCTCAAAACAGATTTACTCATCTTCCATTTGCTCAAATAAAAATTTGCTCAAAATTTTTTTTGCTAATTTTTTCTGCTCAAATTCGAGATTACCAATAAAATATATCGTTAGATATCTCATGTTCATATGCTTACCACACACACTGTCTCGATTGCCAATTCCATATTCGAATTGTTTGATCATCCGATGCACTGATAATCCATGGATATTCATGATGAAAAAATGTTGTACGAATATAATCAAGATGACCCAATAACGTAAATAAACATCTACGTTGTTTATAATTCCAAACCTTAAACACAACAGATACACATACACAGAGACATTCGATCACAACTAGTCTACCTACTTTTATTTTATAATCATCACCACCAGATACAAACAATGGTTGGGCATTATGAAAATGAATACCACGGACAGGACCTAAAAATAAAAAGAACTCTTGATCATACGTACATAAACTAGAGTAACCGTGATTATTTACCATCATGTTCATCAAATTTATCTAATAATGTTTTCATACGATAGTCCCATAATTGTATGACACCACTATGTAACGATGCTAACACCCATGAGCGTTTGGGATGAAACGTTAGGCCTTCAAATGAAAATAGTTAAATTAGTGACGTTATGATCACAAACAACTTATGCATGATAATTACCTTTCACACGAGCCGATTTACTTTCAAATTTAGTTAGCATTCTATAAAAATAATGTTCTTTTATTTAAAATAATGGCGAGGATTATACGTATAGTTAACTTGAATAAAGAATTAAAACTAATGATTTATACCCTAACTTTTTTGTCAACTTTAACGCTGCTTTTTACACTTTCATTTTTCTATGAGTTTTACAACGTACATTCTATTATTATCGAATGTTCTTCTGAATAGAAGAGACAAAAACTCGGTAAACATCCTCTTCTAATACTTAATATAAGTAATCAGAGTCTGAATAATAGCAAAATTTTAAAAGATACGTGACCCGAATCTGTTTTACAAAGGCTATATTTTATCCCTTTCGGGACGGGTGACGTTTTAAAACGTCATTAAAACCTCAAAAATCGGAATAAGCCGTGTTTTTCAAAATTTTCTTTTGAAGAAACGTCCCTCAAAATTCGATCATAATCAAATTTCAAATA